AGTAACAAGAAGCTACTAGGAACAAGTGCATCGCTAGTAGTAACAGGCGCCTTACTAGTAGTAACAAGAAGCTACTAGGGGCTCCTGGCCTTACTACTAGGAGCAAAGGGCAAAGACAGCAAAGTGTGCGGCGTGCTCTGTCCGACACGCTCGGCGCAGAGTTCAAAGACAAAGCAGACGTGAAAAGAGATGCATGAAGCGAACGCAAAAGGTTGAGGTCCATGAAAAGCACAAGGCAGTTTCTTGCGTTTCAGAGGTTCCAAGGCTAGGTAGAAATCTTGCAGCAGGGGTACTCGGCACCAGTAACTCAGTAACTGCAAAAGCTGGTATGAAACTTATGGTGGGAAGCATTGGGCAATCTAGCCTTGGATTTCGTGTGAAGCATTTAAGTGCTCTAAATAGCGTCACTTCTGCCTACAGGCCGCTTCAACTGGGGCAAGCCGCCAGAGTGAATACTGAAGGCCAGTGCCATGCACATTCAACCACGCCAGTCAAAAAACACCCTGGTCAAGTCAGGCACTGAAAGTGAAAAGCATTCTGGCCCAAGTCTTGAGCCACTCAACATCAGGGCCCCACATCTGCTTGCAAGCTATTTCCCCCTCTCCGTGCGAGTGTGCAAAACTCATCCTTGCGTTGCACTGTAGTGCTTGTGCCGCCAGAAAGCATGGGAGATCATCCCAAGTGCTTCTTGCAAAGCCCAAGCACATTTGCAATGGCAGCGTTTATGTTCCTCCGAACCCTGCTTCCATCTACTAGTAACAAGAAGCTACTAGGAACAAGTGCTTCTGTTGTTCTCCCATCACTCAGACTCACCAGTGATGAGCCCATGCCGCAAGGTCGGTCTTGTCTCGTCTGCGTATCTTCGGCCAGCTGCACGCAGATCCCACAAATGCGCCTATCCGGTGCACATCACCCTCCAAAAGACTGTTTTTTGGAAGATATTCTGCCATGCGCACTGAGTGCGGCAGGGTTTCCTCGTTTCCCGATCCTTTGGAAAAACGATCAGAACCTCAGCGTCAGAGATGCTTTTCAGAAAAACAGTGTCTAGACAAGAGATCTTATAGAGAAAAACCAGAAATCAGAACACCCGGTCTAAAGAATAAAAGGTAAGGACAAAAGGTTTAACACGCAAAAAACACGTCGTGTTAAAGGTCCGAGAACCCCAAGGGAAGGTCGACTCTGGATCCTCATGACCTGCTGATTTACACCTGCAGCCCAAGTGCGTGCCCATGGAACGGGCGGTGAACCATACTCGCGAAGGCTCGTAGGGATCGACACGGAAGTCGTGCCACCGCACCTCCGCACAGGGGGAAGGTGGGAGGCGCAAGCACCCCTAGTAGCGTCCTCTTGTTCCTAGTAGTAAGGCCAGGAGCCCCGTTCGTAGCGTCCTTGCTCCTAGCAGCGATGCCCTTTGCTCCTAGTAGCTTCTTGTTCCTAGTAGCGATGCAAGAGCATCTTTGACTTCCATAAACAATTCAACAACTGAGCGAGTATCCTGCAGACCTTGAGATAGAATTGAAACATCCAGCTGATATCTCTATATACAGACATCTCTCCACATATCTTTGGCATCAAAAGCCTTCCTTGATCTATGTGCGGTGCCTTCTGGTCTGGGAAGGCCACTTTCAAGTCAAATTGCCCCAAAGTCTTGATGAACTCATCTTTCTCCAATGGACCAATCACCTGGTTACGACGAAACGAACTCTCCCAGGCAGCGATGGAGACCCAAGCAACCAAATCCTGCTCGGGGTAAAAGCAGGTTGCGGCTCAAGCTCACCTTTTATGTCAAGTAGTAGTGAGGCCAGGAGCCCCTAGTGGCGTCCTTTGCTCCTAGTAGTAATGCCCTTGTTACTAGTAGCTTTATTGTTACTACTAGTAAGGCACTTGTTACTAGAAGCGATGCGCTTGTTACTACTACTACTACTACTACTACTAGTAAGGCACCTGTTCCTAGTAGCGATGCACTTGTTACTAGTAGTTTCTTATTACTGTCTAGGCTCAGAACACTTGCTTTTGGAGAGTGCACAACAGTCGCTGAATAAATCCGCCCGCGAAGGTGCCAAGGCGTTGTGGAGGCTCGCGCAGACCGCAAGATAGCTGCTGGATTGATCCGCTTAATATGCTTTAGCTTGGGGGGCCCTTCCATGTTTGGAAAATGGTGTATTTGTGAAGGACTTTTTGAGGTCTTTTGAAGATTATATAAACAAATTGATGTGGATTCGGAGAAGACTGCATTATTGACATCGTGGGTGTGTTCGTCCGTGCCTCCTGCCCGACCGAGGCAGACACACCGAGACAGACCGAGACAAACAAACGCACACACTCCATGCGGGCGGCTTCGAGCGCGAAGCGCTGTGAATAACAGGCCTGGATCCTAGACTTAAGGCGGTCCGAAAAAGACATTTGCGCGGTGCTTTCAGTGACTGCTTGGAAAATTTTCAGTGACTGCTTGGAAAATCTTATTTCTCCTAGCGAAAAACAAGAAGCTGCAGGAGTCTGAGGTTGAATGCCTTCCAATCCCACTGCAAAACTGAAGAGACTGAACACATCCGTCCCGTCCTGTCCCACGAAGAGGAAATCGTCGGCCAAATCGTTGGGATCCTCAACTCCATACCTCCAGACTTTTCCAAAGGAAAAACAACCGAATTCAGCATTTTATACTTAAAACCAAACAGCAATGGCCTCCCTCACTACGACGAACACGAGCACAACTTACTACCGGCTGATTCGCCGAGGCTGGCTGCTTGTAGTAAAAATACCATTGGACCTTTTTTCCTAGTAGCTTCTTGCTCCTAGTAGTAAGGCCAGGAGCCCCTAGTAGCGTCCTTGCTCCTAGTAGCGATGCCAGGAGCCCCTAGTAGCTTCTTGCTCCAGCAGTCGAGGTACTGGTTCTTTGCCAAGTACAGCATTGCACGCTGAATCAACTCCTCTGGAGGAATTGCAAACTTTCCTGTGGTCTCACATGCGCGGAAGAAAGTGTTGCAAATCAAGGCATTTGGGCATTGCATAAACAGCGAATGACCTTTGAAGCCAACAACCCAAAGAGTATATATTTGGAAAAAACAACTCACCATGCATTTCACCATGAGTCTTGTACAGATTCAATATCGCACGGAAAGGATGATTTCGGCACAACTAACCGCAAACAGTGTCCACATGTGAACAAACTGCACAAACCGAATATATATATATATATGCACAAGATCCGATGAGTTCTGGATTGCACTTTTCTCCTGGAGAAAGTAGGCACCGAGTGTTTTGAAGCGTAAAAGCTGTCATGATGACACCAGTTTGATGCCGATGCCACCTTGCCTTTTTCTTGGCTTCTTCTAGTGTCATCACCTGCGCAGGGGAAGCAAGCATACACTAGCAGCACAGACCTTACTAGTAGCAAGAAGCAAGTAGTAGCTCCTAGCATTACTACTAGTAGCAAGGATGCTACTAGTAACAGATGCAGCATATGCATGTCCACTTAATCCTGGTTTTCAGGGAGTCTGGACCTCAATGTCGTTGCGTAGCGGGGTATCGCCAGAAACGGGACAAGCCAAGCTTTCACGGGACAAGGTTTCAACATGAAACGCGGCTTCAACATGAGCTTACAAGCTGCTGTTGGGTATGCAACCTACAAGTACAGCTTTATTGGGAGACACACTCAATTCTATGAGGGGCCTGGTTGAACTGCACATGCAACTGGCAAGCGATTGTACCATCTGTAGGATCATCTGTGGAAAAACAAGTGCTTTGCAAGCAGATAGTGCTTTGGAAGGAAATGCGGTTAAGAACAGGGCTTTTACTGCACACGCAAGAAAAACCAGCACTATTATTCAGATGCTTCGATGCATTGACTGCGTCTTTGCACTCGGTGCCAGGCTGGCCCGGCCGGCGCAACACAACAAGAGCCCCAATACGTAAGCCTACTACTATAGCAACCTACCTACTAGCGATGGCCTACCTGGCGATGGACTCCAACCTAAGAGCTACTAATAGCGTCCTTTGCTCCTAGTAGCGATGCCAGGAGCCCCTAGTAGCTTCTTGTTACTACTAGTAGGGCACTTGTTACTAGTAGCGATGCACTTGTTACTACTAGTAAGGCACTTGTTACTAGTAGCGTGGCACTTGTTACCACCAGCTGATCTTGATCGTTCCAAAAAGGTCAGGACTTCCGCAAGTCCCTTGCCTCGTCACGTTCTCGCCACTCATTCACAACTTTCTGCTCCTCCTGCAAACAAATCAATCCTACCTTTCACTATACTTCAGGCAGAAAGCTGAGACAACCTCCTTCACCCTGCTTCACCCAAAAAAGCTGTGAGGCAAATTTGCTTCTGAGCTCCATACTGCTCCATACTGCATACCAACGGCTTTCAAGTGCTCCACCGTTCTTACACGCCAAATGTCTCCGTCCAGTTTTCCCGTCTTAGGAACAAGTGCATCGCTTCTAGTAACAAGTGCCTTACTAGTAGTAACAAGAAGCTAGTAGAATTAAAAGTAAACCGATTCATTAGTTAATCACCCGGATGTTCCCACAAGAGGAAAGTCCTTGGTGAGGGCCGATCTTGCGACCAGCGACCTCAGTCATAACATCTCAAGTCTCGCAAAACATCCCTACTGTTTTTTCAAGAATGCGTTCTTGTTGGTAAGGAGTCGCGAGGCCGATATGTCAAATGAAAAACACCTTGTAAGATTTTTCGAGTTCGCGGTCCCAAATAGATCGGTTGCAGTGCAAGTGAAGTTTAAGACAGGTAGAATTTGAGACTTCCAGCTCTGAGTTCGGCCAGCCTCAGTAGTGTAGACAAACAGAGCGAGAGAGAGAGAGAGGTAGAGGTAGCGACCAAAGGAGAGTAGCAGTGGTACGAAGGGGTATATATATATTGGGCCCTGCCCCCCCACAGTAACAGTCGTAAAGGGTCAGGGCCCTTAAACCATACCTCCAAAAACAATAATCATATTCAAAGTCATTAAAGGAAATTGGATTGTAATTTCTGGTCTAGGAAACGCAAAATGATTGGAGTAGTGGGCGGGTTAACTCAAAAGAACACAAATCTGAACATAATTGCAAACCAACAACAACCAGTATCATCCCAATCCCTTCACTAATTTGTCAATCTCAAGTGGCAATTCAAATTATGATATGATGGCTCAAGACTGGAACGGTAGCAGGTGGCCAGGATTGCGTGCTCTCACAGCCAAAGGAAAGAGGAAAGAAAGAAAGGAAGGGAGATTGTGATTACACTGGTTGCAGGATGAGAGCCAAGTCCAAATTGGCTCTGGCTCCCTGCTCCACCCTGGCTTCCGGCTCCCCACCCATCGCTCCCGGCTCCTCACCTTGTCGCTCCCGGCTCCCCACCTCGTCGCTCCCGGCTCCCCACCCCAAATTTTCAAAAAAATTGTCCAAATCCCCGTGGTTTTTTGTGCTTTTTTTT